GACTCCGATACTTATCTTCTCGCATGCTACACCGGCCGCGCGCTGTTTGCAGATTCGACGACCATGTGCCACTTGATAGTGCGCAAATTGTTAATAAGGTCGCGTCGACATGCGGAAACACCACCACCTTCATTAGGCCAGGTGCCCGTGTCAACTGCGATGACGTGCAGACTGCGATCAGTGTCACGCTGTAGAGTCTTTGTTCTTGTAAAGATCACAGCATCACCCCCTTGACCAAAGCTGAAGAGATCGCCAAGTCGGATGGCAAGAGGAGTCCAGGCACTGATATCGCTTGTCAGGTCCGAGCTCGCCATTATTGCATCAGCATGTAAAGCAAGGTAATTTTCTGCCTTTGCTAAACTGCCACGGTCGCGACGCCTCCAGTAGGTTTTGAGTAACGGTTCTCTGCGGATGAGTTCTTCATCTACCCACCGAATGACGACACCGTCCAGATCATTACGTTTCTTCCACGCTTTCCAAAGTTGTGACCGAGCTTTTGAGGTAGATATCTCCTGTTGCTTGATGTTCTTCCGGAAGATTCTGCTCATCAAGCTTGATGTAGGAGCTTTGAAGGACAAGAGTGGATTCTCGTCAATGAACGTACAGCCCGTAGGTTTCTTAAGAACGCCGAGCCAATCATGGCGAATCATATCAGGGGTCTCGACTAGATGACCGTTCAACTTCGTAGTGATTGCCGGATGAAACTTGTGGTCGTAGAACCATGTGCATTCGTACACATCAGCCCCTACCACGAAGGTAGCCTCATGTACACGAGGTGTCGGAATCCAGCGTTCCATTTTCTCTGCATGTCTAACGGGAGGGGCGCACCAGCTCACATTGGCCGACATGTGCGGAAGGACAAACTCGGCGCGTAGCAGTTCATCGTCAAACTTCGCGTTTTTTCGGTAACGGTACTTGAAGCGGACCAAGTTGCCATCGCTGATGTAACTTCCCGATTCGATATGACCTTTGCGATTGTAGAATACCTTAGTGCCTTCCTCAGCACCAGTGACACATGTTCTGCTCAAGGGTATTCGGCCGTTCTTCACTTTGGCTATCTTGGCCTTTCGCTTGCTTCGCTTGGTGGGATAATCGTAGGCGTATATGTTCCCTGATTCACCTTTTTTGAACTCTTCGCGCTGGATAATCCGCAACTGCTCGTCATAGTGCAATACTCTGACGTGGCCACGCTGAGGCTCTTGCCGAAGCTCACCTGTGAAGACCACTAGCTTGAACTGACCAGACTCGGTAGAATGTACGAATGCTGTTTCAGTGTCTCCATGGCCTTTAATGATAAGTCGATTCTTCTTTTGAATGATGACGTTTCCTTTGACAGTTCCAGCGAGGCCGGCAATATCCTTTCGACCATGGTATAAAAAGAAAGGTAGTACAATCGACATTGTAATTCGACTGTAAATCCATAGGCCAGTAAGGAAGAAGGTTGCCGGCTTTGCCAAAAGTTTCGGCGTTTTATTCAACGCGCCATTCAATTCGCGCTGATACTCCGGATCCGCCATGCAGGCCAGTATGAAGAACTTCGCCCAAGTACCGCAAAGGTGGTAAACATAAGCAACAGGAATGCGAATGTATTCGGTGAATATTGTGACCATAGAGGTAGCAGAGTGATTCAGGACCGGGTGGTAATTTTCCTGTATATCAGCTGTGGCCTGTCGATACTCTTTCTCCGTAAATGCTCGGTCACCTTGACTTAGGAAGAAGCCGAGTTTATTGATGGTCAGGAAGGCACCCAAGTCATATCGGGCTATGCGTGAGAATAATGTACAGGATTCTTCTGCTGCAACGTTGTTGTTGATCCAGGAGAGCTCATAGTTTGTGTAGTTGCCACGCTCACCAAGGCAACGTCGCAAAAAAAGCTTACGCATCTCGAGGGGGAAAGTGTCCCATTTGGTATCGCAATCGAAGCCCATACATAGATGTCGCAAAAGCTCTTTGCGACACGTGCTTTCGAAGGTAATGGCTTTTGATCCCGAAGCTTTTGCAGGCATACCTCGTCTGGTGCACTCTGAAACGATGTAGTCTCCGCCACTGATCGTTATTCGAGAAGCCAAAATTGACTCTGTAATGACAGCTTGGTGGGAAGGCACGGCAAAGAGGGTTTCCACGCATGCATGGAGCAGAGTCTCGGCAATGGCTTGAGTATTACTGTTGACGTTAGGCTGACCAGAGGACGGATCAGTCGCGTCAGAAGCAATGTACAAGATCATATGCCCCTGATCGTAGTGAGATATGGCTCGAAGATCCGCTCCAACTTCTGTGGCTCTCTGCTTTGGGAAGATCAGAACTTTGATCATGTCATTCTTCCATGCCCGCACTATGCTCTGAACCAAGACTCGTAGATTCGGGTACGCCTTCATAGCCAATTGCGAGATACTCTCATCTATGTTCTTCAATAAGAGAGCTACAATTTGCTCGCCTGATTGGTCGGTGGGCCGCACAGGGTATCGGTTCTCTTTCGGAGCAGCTCTGATCTTGTCACAAAAGGCTCCGAGCTCACTCTGGCTAAACTTTTCATCCACGCCCGCAGTGTTGTAAGCGCGATACTTTTGGTATGAGGGCCATTGAGCTTTTTGCCGAGAGGACAAACCGGCAATGGCATCGAAGCTTGCGGGGCGAGCTGATTGCGGCGACCGTCGAAATATTTCCGAGATCCATTTTCGAAAATCGTAATCGTTAGATAGTCCTAGCTTGGCTGTTCGGAAAGATAGCAAAGCCGCTGTCCAGGTTGAGATTGCGAGTGCAATCACGAAGTTGTATCCAAAGTCTGGGAGAACCACCACCAGAACGCTTCCAATGATAATGCCCAGCAAAACTGCTGCAAGCAAAGGCAATAGTACGTGAGGCCCAGAGAATATCTTGTTGTACTGGTACAGCAACAATCCACTGTAGGCCCCTACGTAAGCGAGGAACATGATCAATCCAGTCGAGGAACCATTGAACACCCATATGAGGCAGGCACAAACAGCCAATCCCCAGACGTGGACCCCGATGAAACGGGCTAAGGTTCCAAAGTATAGATGGCGTCGAAATTTCTGGTCGTTGGCCTTCGCCTGTCTGATCTGTGCCGCATTCTCGATGGACATCGGTGATAGCTGCTCGGAGAGGGTGTGAAGATGCTGTGCTTTATAATCCAGTAGCACCGCTCCTATCAGATAGTATGCCAGGCCGAATCCAACAGACAGACGAAGGGTTTCATTTGTCGAATCTCCGCCCAGACCAACCTGACGACCGCCATGAATTAGATTCAGCCAGCGATCCATGAGAGCGACCACGAAATACAGGACACCACAGTAGATTTCGTCGCCTGCTGTCCGCCAATGTATGAAGGAATTATGCAGGCGAATACCTTTCTGAGACTGCTGCATGCTTTCAAGTGCGACTTGCGTTTCGAGATTCCAGGTAGAACTGTACGGGATCGGCCGCTTTGTATCTGTGATGCGACAGTACCAATCTAGAAGAAATAGCGTTGAATCCCAACAGTCCGACAGTTGCTTAACAAGAGTGTCCTTGGCTGCCTTCTGCCATAGGCGACGGTCTTTTTCCTTCATCACTGCATCGTACAGCTCTTTTCGGCAAAGGGACAGTATCGCGGGCTCACTGAGACCTTGGAAAATCTCAGGTTCCTCAGCCACCAATTCCTGGCGCGCCTGGCTTGTATTACTGGCAATTATGGTGGTATTCGGCCTTTTGCTTAAGCGTTTGCCTGCAGACAATATTAGAATATGTTTGTAGATCAAAGCACATGGATACAAACCTTCGGGTGCTCTTGAATTGAGTGCTAGCTTCTGCTCGGCATGTCGTCGAATGTACCACGCTTTGATGTCGGCATCGTTTAGTGTCTTAATACTGTGGTACCAGGTAACCCATTGAGTCGCTACCCTTCGCGTACCTAGAATCAGGAGGATAACGAAGGCATAGAGAACACCTAGATATATATAGATGTCACGGTCTGGGATGAACATGGTCAACACCGGTGCTATCACTAACGTCGGGACGACGGCGATGATGACCTTGCGGCCGTTGAGGAAGCTAGATCCGGGAATCTGATAAGTGGACAGTACGGCAAGTACTGATAAGTATGCTGTCAATCCCAAGAGGTAGAGAAAAAAAACTATTCCTTGCCCGGGCCCTACGACTGCAGATACGATGACGAATCCTATGATGCATCCAGCCAGGGCCAATGCAAGGCCGCCGATTAAACGGGTGAGGACGAACATGTTGGCAGCGGAGAAAGCCATGGAGATTAGATAATAGGTGCCTCCAATGGAAATCCAGGTTCCTATGGCTCCCGAGAGGAGTAATGAGCACATGAGAGCAAGTGTCGCATACTCCAACTGGGCTTCACTCATACGCGTACTTAGGTAAAGTCCACGCCCAATGGTGGAGAGAAGTACGATATCTGCCTTCATTAGCATATTTCCTTTAGGTTTATCGTTCCAAACCTACCGACAAGCGCTGGTATCGCAAATACACTCAAAAAGGTGAATCGACGATATGCAGGCATGACAGACGCCTTTTGCTTCGGATCGATGTCGGTCTGTGCCGCAGCGTAAGCTGATGCATACGATGGTGCGTTGAAGAGCCACATTGGAGGTTGATGTTCCTCCTGGTTATAATGGTCCCGATGCTTCTTGGATAGCAGTACACCGATATCACTGGGTTTGATATCGAAATACGCTTCACATCGTGAGCCAAGAGCAAACAACTCTGCGAATGCCGCACTTTGATCTGAGTATTGATTGAACAGAGGGTTACGGTCCGACACTTCGATGTAAACTTCTTCAAATGCCGCTCTCCTAGCTGCGCAGAACAGAGAGAAGAGTACAAAGTCGGCCGCAGAATCAAGAGTCTTGTGGCGACCAAGGATCTCGATGGCTGAAGTTACTGCGTCTAGCTTGTCATGGTCTCGGGACCACAGAATGTTGTAGAACTTCTCGGCGATGTGTTTGAATAGCTTCAAGGCATTCTCCCGTTCAGGTGTTGGTAAACCACAGAGGCGATACCATTGGAGCTTAGCTACCACTAGTTGTTCTTCCGTGATCGCGCCACTGATGTAGTCCAGATTGCTTTGCTTCTTGAATTGGTGATATGTGGGAACTTCTATCAGCAACGTCTCACATTGCTGACGAATTCGCGAAAGCAGTGGGCATTGAGGATCCCATTCTGTGTGCTGAAGATGCTGTAGGTAGAGTAGGGTCTCCGAGGTTGAGAGTTGATTGAGGTCTTGCTCTAAACGGTAGGGCAGAATACTGGTCGTTGTCAAACTGCTCTCGTACTCGCACAACTCTTGCTCAGCTAGAAAGCATTGATACCGCGAGAAGCCTAATCGGCTCAAATACGTATGGAGCAACACCGTGTTGAGGTCCTGGACTGACTTGGAGATGTACATGATGACGGAACCAGATCTAGAATGCGATTCCCATACCGACCAAAACTGGCCACCGGTAGGGGTATGAAAACCAGAGTCAAGTCCAATAAACGCTTGAAACTGGTCAGAGTTTTCAGCGTCATCAGTAGTCTCAGCTAGCATCCTGGCGAAGTTCGCTATTGCACCTCGTAGAGTCGGCTCGCTGTCCAAGAAATCGCTATCGCGAAGCCCGTAGCTGCCCAGAATAGTCGAAGCTTGATGAAGCTCTTTGGTGGAGAGACGGTTGAGTAGCCTTAGATCTCTCAATCGTCTCTGTGATTTAAGAACGTGATCGAAGTCCGCCTTGGTAGCATTGAGGCCAATGGGAAAGCAGCCCAAAGCTTCGTAGATGGTTCCGTCAAATGCGCAGGACAACGGGTTGCTCATCTGCTTTGAAGGAACCAGGGCCCAGTCCAACACGCTCGTTTCCGGGCACTCAGGTGAAGGAGACACCAAAATTCCATTTCCATCTATTTGGAGATGCTCTGGGGTGAGCGTAGATGTGCTCGAAATATCGTCGTCGATGCCTAGTTCAAAGTTATCGAGACCGGCAAGTACGTCGGTTACCAGCGGAAACACGCTCTGTAGCGGGACATAATCATCTTCCACGCTAGAGCGTCCGGTTGAGAGCTAAATGATGTGAGGATACGATGCAAAGATGTATAGATGCGGCAAAAACTTACTGTTCGCGCAGTACGATAGGTCTCATGCACGTTCATCACCCCTCGAGTTTTCAGCCACTGGAATGCTGACAGCGGCTCTTCGAAAGAGCGCGTCTCGGAAATGTTGGTAAGAGCACATTGTCGGGAGAAAAAAGGAACGGCTCCATGATAGTTGCACCACATGTGAGCCCTCCTAACCACTGCATGCGAAAGTTCGACATCATCTGCCACAGTGTCCCACATCATTGTGATGAAGGTTCGTTGACATGCCTGGGAGACGAATGCTTTCGTGGTCGTTTTCATCTTCTCCATGTCGAAAAAGTCTCGTCGCTCTCCACTCTCCAGAATGGTACCGTTCCGGACAACCACACCGGCGAATCGTTGGAATTCGAGATTCTCAATGCCGTCCAGGAACTCCGGAGGGCTTATCTCGAGGTAAACATCCAGTCCAAATGCAGCAATCAGTTTTGCAAGCCCGTTGAGCAATGGAGCCGTCATTCGCTCACGCCAACCTGCGACCAAAACACCTGTGAAATACCGACTCTTGCCCTCCTGTCGGATGGTTCGTTGAATGGTCGAGGACACCATATAGGCAGCTTGAGCCATGTTGAGCTCATTCTCCATGGCTTCAAATGTGATGATCTGAAGAAGATCGAGCCTCGCAATGATTTGAGGCCCGAACGGGACAGTCCCATCACTGACAGCTTCAAGAACTCCTGACTCGCCATAATCTAACACAACCGCATCCCATTGTGATAGTGTCTGAACCTCCTCTGGGGTAGGAGGAGCGCTGAGGGGTCCAAGATATACGCCGAAAGAGGAAGGTTTTTGTGGAGGGGAATGTGTCTTACACACTACATTCGAGCTTTGTGAGAGGATGTGGATGCGTTCTTGCACCGATCGTGGCAAAGCATGGACGTCTTTTTTGGACTGTACAGTGTTAAAGGCGCACTTCAGGCTTCTTTTTGACTTACCTTGACAGCATTGCGTATGGAGCGATACAGGTACCAAAGAAACGTAAGAATCCCAACGAGTCCACTGGCACTGATGATGGCCACGAGCACCCAATCCCACCACCCTTGCAGCACTTCATGCCCTTTGAAGGCCTGAATTCCCAGTATGTCTGGTGTCCCCATGATCCTGAATCAAGAATCAACACGTTGGGTAGACAAGGCCCTTGAACGTCGACCTTCACCCAAGAGGGCTAACTGAAAGGATTATTGGAGGAGCGTTACTGTTGAGCTATAGAAATCATATTAGCAACAAACTCAGTTGTATGCACGGCGTGAAGTCTAGTGACAGACTACGTAGGACCCCGGGCAAGAGCAAAGGCGGATTGAGCGGGAGGGCGTAGATCGAGCTCCTACAAGATCACTACATTGCACAAAAAGTATGCGATTCACCGAGTCATGGGTTCATTGATACTCTACGAATCGCATTAGCCCACCAGATTGACATAGTTGCCGGAGGTCCGTCCAAACCCCTCCGCTGTGCGCTGTACTGTACATAGGGTCAGCATCAGTAGGAGAGGCATTTTCGTCCTTCCAGAAGCCTGCAATACGGCGCTTGGCCGTCCGTACAGGGCAGTAGAGCGGCATTGACCAAAAGGAACGTGCAGTACGCGAGGCCTTCTGGCCGATAATAGCAATCATGATGATGACAAGGGAGTAAAGTGGGGGGTCCACTCAGCCCGGCATCCATGATCCCTCCTCTGTAGGTATTGTACATACATACAGTACCTATCCCGAAGACGCACGAGGACCGAAGTGGAGCCTGACCATACGCGACCTAAATTTCGGGGCAAAGTTTCTGTGAATGAGGTGGCGCATCTTTGCGCCGAGAGGGTGGCCGCATTGTGGAGAAGGATGACAGACAGGAGGCTGAGATGACAGGGTCCATGGGCCGGTGGACCGTGCGCACCAATACTCGCCGTATTAGCTCGTTTGGACACTTTCATCCGGTATAGCTTTTAGCCTAACGTGCATCCCACTCCTACGCTTCCAATATCGTTTCATCTACTACCGCTGTCCATCCTAGTCTCTTTCCACGACTCGCGCCACGCCATACAGCAGCCGCATACATTGGCTGCGACAGAGCGAAACTACGGGCCGACATGTACTTGCACACCTACCTACCTGCCAGTACCTACCCATGGACCTGCTGGAAGACACAGGCCGCGTCGAAGTCGAGTATTCTCTCCTATTTTGCGTCCCTCCCTAGTCTAGTCTACGGTCGCAGTGGCTTCAGTGGCTTTGTCACGCCTAGCATGTGTTCTGGGCCTGAGGCTTGCGAACCTAGCTACCGCCCTTCTTTGGGAAATCTTGGTACCCATACGGAGGTAGGCCTTGGGTATCTTGGGCTCTTACGGTACCGGTAACTGTGCTTGAGTAAATCCAAGTTCCAAGTCAGCCCCGTCACTATGTAGATAGTGTACTACTTTGTAGATTGCTGACATATCCCGTATCACGTGGTCACAGCTTCAATGTCATGACGTTATGAGCGTCTAGATTCGCTAAGTATAGTGCTGGCTCTGTCCTGCTATCTTTCATCAGACGTCTATCCAGAGAGCGGGAGGGATAGCAGCCATACGATGAAGTACCTACATCTGCGACGCCACCCTGTGTGAACTAAAGTCTTACGCGTATATAAAACATGCGATATGAGGCTACACGGGCTGAAAATCGATAGTCCCATGGGTGATGGATCGTAACCAGGCGTCTAATAGTCTAATCTCCCTCAGTGGCTGACTAGACGGCTTGGATCCTCTACCGGGATTCTTTATTAAGATCTTTGAACCGTCCCAGATTTACAATCGTTACGCATTCGCTTCTTGCTCTACAATGGCGTCTTCGTCCTCGTCTTTTTTTCCGCTGCGAGCATGCATACTATCGTGTATGCTTCTCCTATTGCCTGGAGCTTCAGCATACGTTGGTGGCGCGACTGTGTCGAGCACCATTCTTATCTTCGCACGCGACACAACTTCTGCTGAAAACAGTGCTGCACTTGGACTCCGTGGCTATGGCATTCCTTACGAGATCGCCCTTGTCCCGCAATCTGGCGTTGCGAACATTCCGCTCCTGAACTCTTCCGCCACCCATGGCAACTATGGTGGAATAGTCATGGTTAGCGAAGTGGGCTACAATTTCGACAATCTATACTTGAGCGCACTTGAGACGACACAATGGAACGAACTATTTACCTACCAGTCGAATTTTGGTGTACGAATGGTCCGTCTTGACGTTTACCCCACACCCGAGTTTGGTGTGACCAGCTTGGGAGGCAACGTGAATGAGGAGCCTGTCATGTTCACCAATACATCGAGCTTCCCTACCGCAAATCTAAAAACGTGAGTGTCACCATTTCTCTGGTATTGAAAGATACCCCTGACACTACCCAATCCCTTTAAAGGAGAGCTCCAGATACAGAGTTAACAACGACCTCAGCAACGTCGGTATCAGTACAGCGAACATCTTTCACACACCTGCGGCCATCACAAATTCGTCAATGACATGGGAGATAGCCAAGTTCTCAGGCGCGGGCACTGCAGCCGTCATCAATCAGATCGGTGATCGTCAGCAAATGGTGTGGTTTATGCCGTTTGCGTTAGACTGGGCAGCTTCGAGTAACATCATCCAACATTCCTGGATCACCTGGGTCACGAGGGGGCTCTTTGTGGGTTTCAGGAGAATATATCTGAGTACCCAGGTCGATGACATGTTCCTGGAAACAGAGCTGTACCGTCCACAAGGTCAGAGCTATCGTTGCAAGCCGGAGGATTTATCCTTTCACGTCAAATGGCAGGCGGAGTTGAACGCAAAGATGCCCCAAGGTTCAGAATACTTCCTTGAAATTGGTCACAATGGTAATGGCGACATCGAAGCTGCCGTTGAAACTACTGCAGGCGACAGTGCCTGCAGGCCAAGCAGTGGCATTGAGTACGCAGATCAGCCAGATGGTAATCCTGAGTACACCAAGCCGCCAGGAACGGGAACGAATATCTGGCCGGCAACGCCTACAAAATATAGCTGGAGTCTCGAGTGTGCGAAACTTGACGCACTACAGAATTGGTTTGCAGTAGAGCAACAGCGGGATGCCTTCGCACATTTGTCGCATACATTGTGAGCAAGTTCCAGCCCTCAATAACCGACGATGACTAATTTTTGTAGCACTCACGCTGACTTGACCAATACCACTTACTCTGATACCTCCAAGGAAATCTCCTTCAATCAAGCATGGCTGAAGCAGGTCGGTCTTGATGCTGCCCTGCGATACAGTCCAAAGGGACTTATACCGCCCGCTATAACCGGTCTTTACAATGCCGATGCCATTCGAGCATGGATGGACAATGGCATCTTCAATGTGGTTGGAGACAATACGCGTCCAAAGTTACGCAATCCACAGAACACATTCTGGCCATTGACCACTACTGTAGAAGGCAATGGACATGCCGGGCTTAATGTGATGCCCCGATGGGCCACAGTCATCTACTACAACTGCGATCTACCAGCATGCACCTTGCAAGAATGGATTGATACATCTGCTGGTAGTGGTACATTTGATGACCTTCTTGCCAACGCGAGGGACACTGCGATTCGAAATCTGATGGGGCTTCACTGGGATCCGTACGTTATGCCGGTTTCTAGTCATAACTTCTGCTAACGGGTGTATAGATACATGTTCCATCAAGCGAATATGCGTGTCAATGACGTTCCCGCAACCACCATAAACGGCGTACGTGGACAATACTCCCTGCTCATGTCTTGGGTAGAGGTCATCACAGCGGAAATGATGAAATAGTACGTGACGGATGCGCCAACAATATTCTCTTGCTGTGCACTAACATGCTGTAGCACCACGTGGCCATTTAAGACTCTGAAGCACGACGATATCGCCCAACAGTTCGTCAACCGCCAAGTACGCGATCTTTGCCGACCTAGCATGACATGGACGACATCCGCCGATGGCGCTAGGATTGAGAGCGTGAATGTATATACGGCGGGCGGTAACCAGTGCGCGACTCCGATTCCAATCACTATTCCGTGCAACGTGGATTCTACCACTGGTGCAACAATGGAGCAGCTCGGTAGCGACCCTTTGACGCTTTGGGTGACTATGAGTGGTGCAAGTCGGTTGTACAAGCTCTCTAAAGCTATCACATTGTAATACACCCATGCATCTTGGGGCTAAATTTTGCTTCGCTTCGATTGCGTTCTCGGAGTACTTGGTTGAAAAATTTCAGGGGGAATTCACAAATACTCAGTCAAACCGATCTACTGATCCACATCGTAACCAAACTCTCCTTTTATTTTTATCGTTGAAAGGTGGGAACTACCTCGTGTCCATCCAGGATATGATCGGAAATGCTAACCTGCCGCATCGCGACGCTGCTGTGTAATTTGGATAAATACCCACAACCAACCTACTGGGATTCCCATGTACATTACACCCCTAGGCAGGATTTGATGGTGCATGCAGAATCTTCACGCCCAGATCCCTTCCACCAGCCTTTTCCAAGCCCAAAAGCCTTGCGGGCTGACATTTTGCTGTGCATATGCACGCTCGTCCTTTGAACCCTCTGAAAGTGAAGGCTGCACCACATTTCCACCAATTGCTTACTGCCTCAACAGTTCAGCTATCGGCACGACTCAGTCTTCAGATACGCAGGATTCCCGCCCGCGGTAACGACATCGCGCCGTTCGGTCCGCTACCCCTGTGGGCGCCACAACCGCACTAGCCCGTGCGTGGCGCTACGCTCGGTCGGGCGTTTCCAACCCTGGTAATACGAAGTGTATATTGACTACATGGGTTGTTACTTGTTGCCCATGCAGGGAAAAAGGTTTGTTGGATAAGCGCGGTTCTTCCATGGGGCTACTGACCTCATTAGACTTGAAATAGCTACAGGATCGAGAGGATCCATTCCAGACTTTTGGGCAAGTCTTACTCCACCGACCTTTTGCCTTCGTAAACAACTACAAGCCTTACGATTACTGCTACCTGCCTCTCCCTCCTTCCCGCATACCAAGCACTTGTGTCGGAGCATTCCTTTCTAGATCCTGGCTTGTCGACATGTCAGACAAATTGACGTCACGTCAGCCGTGGTCTCTCCGGCGCAAACTCCTCATAGGGGGTGGTATTGCACTCGGCCTACTTGCACTCGCACTCGGCTTGGGATTAGGCCTCGGACTGGGCGGCAGCGACGACGACGACGAGGGCTCAGAGACACCTACACTTTCACCACTGCCATCACCAAATGCCCCATCACTGTGGAGACCAAGAGTGAACCAGACGTGGCAGATCATCCTCTCTCATCCTCCTGTCATCTCAGATAGCGACACTACCACGACGCCAGATGTAGATATCTTTGACATCGATCTGTTTGATACCCCAACAGAGACAATCCAACGCCTGCATGAATTGGGAAAGAAAGTGATCTGTTATTTCAGCGCTGGAAGCTACGAGGAGTGGCGATCAGATGCTGGCGAATTCAAAGCCGATGACATGGGCAAGGAGCTTGATGGTTGGCCTGGCGAAAAATGGTTGCGACTGGGCAGCGAGAATGTGCGTAGAATCATGAAAGAGCGAGTCGATCTGGCGAGAAGCAAAGGCTGTGATGCTGTGGATCCCGACAATGTCGATGGCTATGTAAGTCAAACTAGCCTACTTGGGCGTTGGAGTGCTAATTGGACTGCTAGCAAAACGACAACGGGCTTTCTCTCACACAGCAAGATAGCATATCATACATGGCCTATCTCTCTTCAATCACTGCGCCTTTGAACTTGACGCTTGGTCTCAAGAACGCAGGCGACATCATATCCGCCGTGCTACCAATTGTGCAATTCTCGGTCAATGAGCAGTGCCTTCAGTACAAAGAGTGCAATAAGTTCCAAGCCTTCATCGCCGCAGACAAGCCTGTATTTCACATCGAATACCCAGACGGCGCTGGCGAGGGCGAGTCGGCAACAAGAGGTCTAAGCCAGAACACTATGAGGTCACATTGCTCGAGTAACGGAGATGCCGAGGGAAGTCAAGGATTCAGCACAGTACTCAAGAAGATGAATCTAGATGGGTGGGTAGAGTATTGCGACGGCAACGTACAGACCAGCGCTGTGAATCAGAACACCGGGCACGAGATGATGCGGAGGACGTAAACCACCATTCTTAATCGGTCTAATCGCACCCTACCCTCCTCGTGAAGAATACGATCCCTACAAGTGTGCGCACAATCTGCATTCTCCCGGACCCACCGCTTTACCAGGCGGCGGACCAGCCTCGCAATCTGCGCAAAAGGCCATGAGAACATCAACTACTTCAAAAGCCTTACGCAAGCCCTATCGAAGATTTCAGCCGTAAACGAGAACACGCAGACACGGCATTCCTCCCGTGTCAGGAGATTTATTGTCCGGCTGTTATGGGGCTGTTTGGTTTGCTCGGGTTCGCTCGCTTTTACCAAGCGAGATTCTGGAAAAGTGTGGGGTGCATGATTGAGGCTGTCAAGCATTTCCATATGAGCTGACGAAGCCCAATCAAGTAATGCCGGCCATAATAATGAGCATATTCTTTTTCAAATATAATGTATAGTACGGCACTTGCGGTATTGAATCAGTCCACGATGGTGTTTTCACCTTCCTGGTTGGAAGTCGTATGCTGTGTTAAGCCCCTGAATTTCTTATGCCATGTAGCAGAAAAGATCCGCAATGCTCCGAGGGCAGTCTATTGACTCTATCCTTGAAGTCAGCTCAAGTTGGGTACCCTAACCCAAAACATTCGTGTTGTGAAACGATAAAATCTGACGCTCGGTCGCCGGCGCCATCCATGTCCAAGTCTGGGGAAACCTTGTACAATCATGTGTGCCCCTCGAGGTCTGTTCTTACCCCAGGGGGCTGACATGGTTGGCCTTAGCCAGCTGGCGATTCAGTGACTGGTGGAATTGCTTTCTGGAACGCTACCACAGTCCGATGCAAGCCTCGTCTTGCTAGCACATTGCAAAGCGAAAGCGAGCCCACCGGTTATTTTCAGCACGTCATAGGTCTACAATGTGCGCAGGGCTTTTCAAGAACAAGTACCAGCGTGCACAATGTTAGCGCTGACAATCACATTGTTCAAGTCTTCAAGACAGAGTTGAACCACCCTGTAACATAGCGGTGGCCTGGTTGGACATGATGACTGCGCCGCCCAGAGACAGCAACAGCCAGCCGCCACTTGCACTCGACGCGGGCGGTAAGAGTGCGGCAAAAGTGGATCCTTTTCGACTTGGCGCCCCTGGTACAAAATTGGAGATCCCCTCGGCGAGATGCGTCTATTCGGCATCACCACACGATTAGTGCGGCGACTAGACGGTACCAACGGCACTATTTGACCAAAACTACAAAAAGACTTTGACTTTTCCAATGAATCTGTGCATAAGAGCTTCTAAGTATAGACGAGCAGCACAGATGATTACAGCCTTCACTCGCTGAGATGGGAAGGTGTGATTGCTGTCACATTCGATCCCATAATCCATCAGTGAAGTTGGTAGCCAAGCAACGTGGAGGTTTCCTGGAAAAGCCACAACGTGGTGCACAATCGTACCAACGCATCGGTTGTATACTATTGCAGTAGCATTGGCCTGAGCAATACAGTGCGCTGTCAAACACGAGTCATGACAGTGCTCGTGGCAAGATACGCGATCAGGTACCCACTCATTAACACGGAGCTCTCCGTCACCGAAATCCTTACACGTTTACCAGCATATTCGAAAAAAAAAAAGGAATTCCAGTGCCCAAGCAGAATCAGAAATGAATAGTGTCAATCATATCACAGCACTGCCCCTTGAAAGAGACTCACGTAAGGCTTACGAAACTTCCGAGTGTTTTACATTCTGTGCGGGCAATAAATCACCGCATTCACACCACTGCATACGAATCAGTTCACTTTCTGAGGGTGGAATCATAATGGTATTTGCATGTGTTTAGTTTTCCCGCGATCGAACTCAGCTGTGCCTTCGGTTTTAGGCTGGCTGTGAGGAGTAAAAGTACGTGATGACGCACTCCAACCCCCTACTCAACAAGACGACAGCTTACGTAGTGGACCTGTACGCTCGTGCAAGCTTCATGCCCACGGAAGGTCGTGGCTTAGTGTGTCCAAGGCGGAGATTCCGCGGCGTTTAATCACACTCTGCGCCGTAGGCGCTAAAGCAGGGTCGAGCCCATGATGTGATCGGATCCCTGGACCCATAGTGCAGAGAACTGACAGGGGTATACATCGGGATGCGAAGCTATCGTCGATTGAGGATCGATGAGAGACGGTAGGATTGTGGGCCATGTTTGAAAAGCGGCTGGCGAAACATGAGAAATATTGAAACTTGTATCTCATCTGCCACAGGTTTTCAGGCGCTGAGCCGTCCTGGATGTGATAGTTGCAACTTACGCGCCGAGATGAGAAGTAAGTAGAATGTACGTGCATAACTAGTCCGCTGACAAGAGCTTCACATCTTGATCCGGGATGGTGGTGCAAGACTTGACCCCTCGCCAGATCTACCGCCTAAAAGTGGTGCGACTTTAGTGTGAAAAGGAGGCTAGGGTTTGGTAGGCTGGAACATATATAGAGCCTTGTAGAGCAATGTGCTCAAGGATTGCTGCTTGCACGGCGACGTGCTCTGTTCTTGGGCCTACCCACCCGACGGACTCGCGGTCCGTTCGCATCGTGGCGATCATTTCTGACAGGATCTTGCCATTGCACACAGTCCAGTGGCCATGTCACTGAATCCCTTCGGCCCCGGTGTCAAATTTGATGATGCCTTTTGATTGGACCGAGCTTGCTACTGCTACTGCGGTATCTTGCACCCGGAGACACAATTTGGCGTCCGAGATACTGCTGATGGGAAAAAAGAATCCTGTGTGAAAAAGTCGATTGGGCTGGAATTCGGTAAATGCAGGGCTTTTCTCATCATAAACGCTAAAGCGGGTGTTGTAACCATGATCCTGGAATGTGCTTGTCCTGACCCTCAATGTGCTCATAATGGATTAAACAAGTGGACCAAACTATCGCGAATGAAAAGAGCACTGCGTCGAATTCAGTATAGGATGCATTTCCTGCAATCCACACACACTGGCCTACGGCTAAGAGTTGCCGTACCATCAAATCCAGTTCGCTGGTGGTCAGGTTACGACTAATGCAAGTCTTTCAGTATCGTATGACTTTGCTGTGGTAGCAAGCGCCACTCCCTCCTTCACTCAATTCGAAAAGGAATTCTTGAAGATATGACGGTAAGACTAGCCCTGCGAAGATGGCGATGTCGAAGTCTAAGATTCCGGAAGAACCCAGGATTGTGAACTGCAATGTACGGTTAGCATTCCAAACTGACAACTGCCGAGATGAGATCGCCCACGAATTGCTGCGTGAGAGCGGCGTGCCGGCTCTTTGGTAGAAGCAGCAAGTTATGCAGTATGCAGTGGCTTTGACAAGGATAATATAGGGTTCGAACAGGCAAAGGCTCCTCAAGACCGTCCAGCTCAAGCTGACAAAAGCTCATTGACCAACGTAGCCACCCTTTAGCCCGGTGCTATTTTGGTTGACTTGTGAAATACTTTGCAAGTACAAATCACACTGTTGAGATTATTGCGTAGGAGTTTCATCAACAAAATTGCCTTTCAGAGCCAATGCAGGGTCGTATCCGCCCAAGAAGCTACAGGTGTCAGCATAGCTGATGACCGGCCCGAGTGTTGCTAGCAGAATGCACCTATGCGTAGGTATGAATATCGTCGTTTTCTGCGCTGATATTCCTGATACACCACGTGGTAGATACATAGCCAATAGTCCGCACATTATGGAACGTGTTGAGCATTTCGATGATTTCTGAACACTCTTCATTTGGCAAAGCGCCAAATCTACGGAGGCTCTGAGTGTTCAGGATTGTAGTGAATTGCATGTGAGGATGTGAGGATACCCTAGCACAGTGAGACTGAGGTTCCACATGGATCGTGCTTGTACCGGGGCGTGAGACGTACATCTCGTAGAACGGGTTCCATGCGCCGAGTGCGGGATAGTCATAGAACGGGACTAATACTGATGCAGTTATAGCGTTTGCTACAGCATTTGGTGCCGGCAGGCAAAGCGTATTCGGAATCAAATGCGGCTGTACGCAGGCAGACGCCGAGAGGCCACAGAACCACTTGGAATGGACGTTTCACTTCGACAGCAATGTGTGTCAGGGAGAGTAGACCATTTCGAATACATTGTATAGCAAATGACGAAGTATGCCTCGTGGGCAGGGCACGCTGGAAAACCTGCAGTCGCTATATCAACACCCGAGAAGTCTGGGTACGCGGCATTACAGTCCTCACGGAAATGTGGGTGGCCGTGTGGCAGTTCAAATTGGACAGGGATCTTTAGCGATGCGTGAGTATATTCCAAAGTGCTCGGACCTGACGAGACTCCGGACTGAATGAATCGGGAACAGGAGGCTGGATCATGCCAAGATGATAAACAATATTGTGCGCTACAGGTAAAAGTCTTGCAAGAAGTGAATGTTGCCTGATCTGGCATAGGGCTCTGTAAGCTCTCATAACCTTGATATATATAGAAGAATTTTCTGCATACCTCTCAGTGGTCTCAGAACACCAGGAAAGAATCTGCTTCACTCCGTCGCCACCATACACAATGGAAGCATCTTTACATCCTGGTTCGGCATCGACTCCATGTTCCGCCTTTTCAATGTCGCCATCTGCAACGCCTGAGGCAGTCAACACACCAGAAACACAAAGATCGGTTCTCTTCGATGATGATGTGGCCGCAGATCCACTCGATATTGGTGAAGGCGATTCGAAATTCATTATGGTAGTGGGTGGTCTCGGGTATATCGGGTCGCACACGGTGCTGGAGCTGCTGAAGGAAGGATACAACGTCCTAGTCATCGACAATCTCAGTAATTCATATGAGAACGTCCTGGATCGAATTAGAATTCTGGCCAATGAATGCCTTTCGAAGCAGGGAAAGCCAATGCCAGACCTTCGGTTCCGGCAACTCGACTATCGCAGTGCGCTCATGCGATCCGTTCTGAAAGAATATTCAACATCCATGGTCGAGAGTAGAGCGGCAACCGCACTTAAGGGCTTTCCGTATTCTAATTTCCATCGAACAGATTCCGGTATCGACATGGCCATGGACGATAGACAAGAGGCTCCTACGCAGAGTCGATCCAGAATTTCGGGCGTCATTCACTTTGCTGCTTACAAATCAGTGGAGGAAAGCATCCGACAACCATTGCGGTATTATAACAACAATGTGTGTGGCCTGGTGGACTTCCTCAGCCTGCTTGAAGAATTCGGTATCAAGAATTTCGTGTTTTCATCATCCGCTACTGTTTACGGAGAGGGCGCAAACTGTGGAGTACCTCTTCGCGAAGAACTGTGCGTCCACCATCCGGAATCGTACTTGGATGATGATGGACGCGAGAAGACTGTGCTTCCTGGCGTGCTGGGCCTCACGTCGCCATACGGGCGGTCCAAATTCATGTGCGAGTCTATTCTCGCCGATCTGGCATATTCGGATCCCAGCTGGGCTATAACTGCCCTGCGTTACTTTAATCCGGTGAGTACTGGTTGGGGTGTTAGATGAATGCTGCATCTAATCCGTCTTTGTAGGTTGGTTGCCATGAGTCAGGAATACTGGGTGAAGATCCGCGTCAAAAGCCCAGCAATTTGATCCCAGTCATTGCGACTGTTTTAACAGGAGCGAAGCCTACGTTGGAGATTTACGGCACTGATTGGGACACCCCGGATGGGACGGCTGTGAGGGATTTCATACATGTGGTTGACCTAGCACGGGGCCATGTCGCAGCTCTATCAGCTTCCTCATCTGGTCGAACCAAAAGTCCTTTCCGCACTTATAACTTGGGTAAGTTACGTCCGGTTATATTCGACAGAAGAATCATGAGCTCTGGCTAACGAACCACAGGAACCGGTCGGGGTCACACAGTCCGAGAAGTACTTCAAAGTCTGGAGAAGACCAGTCAACGGACTATTCCAGCTCGTGAGGTTGGACGAAGGGCAGGAGATGTCGGCTTCTGTGTAGCCGAAGTTCAACGTGCAGAGGTCGAATTACAGTGGCGAGCGGAGCGTTCCCTCGACGACTGCTCGGTTGATGTCTGGAATTTCACCAAAGCTCGGTGCCCACAGGAATGAGGCTCCGTAGTTTTAGTGGGGAGTATGACGGTGGATACTTTCTGGATACATTCTAATTTCTTCGGTGGCGTTCGGGTTCCTCATCGACGATTGTCCCAAGGTTTTCACCATTAGTAATCTGGCGTCAGGGTTGCAAAAACGTTAGCGAGTCTAGGAGCGTGTGTTTTGCTCCTACAGGTAGACTATCGCCCATCAGGAAAACAGGGCATATAATGAGATGAAATGGATTGCATTGTGTTATCGAGTGCGTACCTGTTGCGAAACTGTAGCTTGCGATGTTACGATGAGTGCTAAACGTCTATTGATGTTTAGCGGGATGCCTGACAGGCTTTGGTCCATTTCGAGTGGCATCAACGTAGGCATGGCGATCATAAGTTCCTTCAAGGGCGCCTCTCATCTTGATCACCAGCCGACAGATTACTCATCCCCTACAAGGCTGACGAGATTGATATTTTGTCCAGGAGAATCTCGAATTGGAAAAAAAAATAGCCTACGTTCTATCGTGAGAAGGTTCGAAGCCCAACAGCGGATCTCCCTCCTTATCAACTATGATGTAAATACTTCGGCCCATAGCTCTGGATCCTGACCAATTTAGATGATTTCGATATCTGCTGTGAGGTGAAGGACGCGGATGGGCTGCTGGCATGGTAGCTGATAAGACAAAGTCGAGCCAAGACCAGCCTGCATCGAGCCAATAGCTTCAAGAGTTTCAGATGTGGCTGCCATGGCATGCAAGCTCTGCTCTTTTCAAAGCTTGCTGGACAGTGGGCGTGGATGAGTGGCGGAGGCGCCGTATCGCATCTCAGCTGCGCCCGTTTCAATCCAATCTGTGAGAGCAGCCAGTAAAGGGAGACCGACAAACTTCGGACAAACCACGGAAGCAATGAAGACGCGTCCTGCGAAAGAGCAAGCGGGAGGCGTTGCTCGCTAGAGTCCGGTCTTCCGATTTGCTCGTTGGCGTTTCAGAGGCGGTACAACCAAAGGCCAACTCTCGACGGTGTGGTAGCGCAAAGGCTTGACCGACCATTTCCACAGCGCGACGACTCGCTCAGGTTGCACTGACTGAGGGCGGAAACGGAGGGGCCGGCTCAGCACAAAGACGACATGACCGCAAACATCAGGACTTGGATGTGTTTGGATGGCATCGAGAAAGTGATTGGAGGAGGCGGGTGCGGAAATCCTGTGGCGATCACCCCGTCCCTTGGACAGCGCTAACGTGATCCACCACCGAGCGCCCACCCCCACCGAGCGCCCACCAACACCAAAATCCACCACCCACTAAATGAGGATATTGCGCCACCCACAATAGCTATTATCACGAGATTTCTTAGAGTCGCGATTATTAGATCTATTAGAGTAGATTGAATATTTTAGATTATGTAAGCAGCTTTTTAGGGGGTCTAATTAGGCGCCCACGCTGTGAAGTTGCCTCCACTACTATATCCTCTTCTACTAGCTCCTTATTAACCACCTTAGCTAGTATAATAGTAGGAGGCTTAAGGATTTGCCTCTTGCCTATTTAGGACGTTTTAATATTATTTTAGAGTTACTTTTCTAGTTACTTAGTAGTTTTCTACTTATTACGTGTAGTAGCTTTTTAGGTAGCTTTCTCCTTCTACTCCTTCTTAGTAATTACTTAATTTAGGCAACGCTCCTCTATAAGTTAAGCTTTAGCAAGCTTCTATTACTTATAAAGCTTAATTACCTTACTTTTTTAGTATTATAGCTCCTATTCTTTAAGGTTCTTTTACTCCTAGAGCTTAAATACTTGCTCTACCTTTAATAGTAAAATAAATTAGGCACTACTACTATAATTATTATTAGGGGGTAATAATAGAGGTTTACCACGCTTTCTACACTTCTTCTTATTAGCTAGGGCAGCCCTTAAGTATTTATTTTTATAGTTAAGTAGAGTATTTCTTACTAATATAGTATAGATTATCTAGCTAAGCTTCTTTAACTATTTATTATAGATATTAATTATAGTATTATAGAGTAACTACTCTATCTTTCTCTAATTACTTATACTTAATATTAAGGTTATACTATTACTTAAAGAAGGCTAGTTACTATTATTTATAGGTGCTTTAAACCTTAAAAGGATAATATTAGGGTTAAGTAGTAAAATAACTATTACTTTAAAAGCTATTAATATTAGCTTTTCCTTAAAGGTATTACTCTATATAGTATTAAATAACTAGTAGAAATCCCTCTTAATAATACTTATAAGCCCTTAGGAGCTATCTAGAAAACTAGATAGTTAAGCTTTATATAAAGCTATAAAGGGAGCAAATACTATAATATTAAGTAGCTAAAGGGTGTAAGTGCTATAAGAGGGATATATTATAAGTAGGATCTTATATTTATTATAGTACTTAATAAACTCTATTATTATATAAGATCTATAGCTATTAAGGATAAGGAGCTAGTATAAAGTATAAGCTTTAGCTTTTATCTTGCGATTAAACACCTCCTTAAGCTAGGATACCCCTAGGGTATAGCTTATCTACCTACTTAGTAATCCTATAAAGAAAGCTTAGTATTATAATAGGTTAAAATCTTGTAACTAGGTATCCTATAGAGCTCTAGATTAGGACTAATAAATAAGGGTAGAGGTAAGAGCAGTACTATTAGCGCATATGCAAGCTATAGTAGTAATCCACTCCCTATTACTATCCTAGAGTATAGCTCTAATCTTTCTCTACTTATAGGCGCTCTTATTAAATATATATTTAGTTTTTAATAATACTCTAATAAGAAAACCCTTCTTATCTATATTATAGATATACTAACTCTTAATATTATATTACTCTATTTTTTAGTATAAAAGCTTAAAGTATAAGCTATACTTAAAGGTAGAATTAGCTTTAAAGTAGTTATAATTAAGCCTAGTAGCCTAATAGAAGATAAGATTAATATTATAGCAGTTAATAAAGCGCTATACCTAATTTTTACCTACTAGATTCCCTATTATTTTAGTTATAAAATTTTAAATAATAGTCTATATAGGGGGTAATCCTTACCTATAAAGCTTTTTAATATACTTTATAAGCTTACTTTCTTATATAGTATTAAGTATTTAACTATTTAGTAGAGTAGTAGTACGCGCCTACTAAATTTTCTAGTAGTATCTAGATAAGGTTAACCACAAGTAACTATACTTTTCTACTATTTCTAAGTATATAAAATCTTCTCTAAGAGTTAAGGATTTAATTGCTGCAAGCGCGTTATTAATAGGTGCTATAGTTGTTAAGAAATTTAGTGTTGAAAATTTGGTGATTTTGGTGTTGGTGGGCGCTCGGTGGGGGTGGGCGCTCGGTGGTGGATCACGTTAAGCCCTGCACGTGATTCGCGCTTGTCTCGTCCATCAGCCCGTGGCCGTTGGACCACCTCAACGTCTTCACCAGATCCAATCCACAGAATCGCAAAGCCCAGACGACTGAGACTCGCGGAGTCGCCCTCTTATATGAGCTTTTAGGCCATAGGATGCCCTCGTCTGCCATGGTCCTCCCGGCCCAAACAATGCAGGGCACTACTTCCCTTTCGGCTGGCGTAGACTCCACATATTGGGCTCAACCACAGGACTTCTCATCCGACTCTGCGTCGCCTTTGTCGCCATCGCAGGCTCTTCATCTTTCACCAGCCACCAGCGCCACCACTCATGGGAGCCTTGGTGGGAGTATCAATGGCGGTACCCCACCGGCGCAAACCCCGCAATTTGACAGCGACAAGAGAGGGTCGCAGCATGGACAGAAGAACAGCCAAAAGCCGTCAAACGACAGTCAATCGAGAGCTTCTGTCGCTGTCGCATGTGTGCCTTGTCGAAGTAGACACCTCAAGTGTGACGGTGGCGTTCGTTGCTCGAGATGTAGGACTGATAATGTCGAATGTACTTACATCAAGTCACGGAGAGGCTGGAAGGGCAAGAGGAAGAACAAAGAAGATGCCAGTGCACCTTTGGCTGTCAATGGTGAGTTTTATCAGGACTTGAGAGGACAAGAATCTAATAAACCCAAGGTCACAGCTCGAATGAAGTCGCCATCAGCAACAGCCATCTGTCATCACCAGATTACTCATATAATGGCGACACTGGCGCCATAAATCAACTCAGTCCAACCAATGGGCTCAGTGTACGACCAGTTGCGCCTCCAGTTGCGCAGATGAACCTCAATGGGACCGCTCGCCTCAACCGCTTTGGTCACATGGGACCTGAGACGGCTGTTCAGGCGTTTTACCACTATTTTTACAATTCACATCCATTCTGCCTACCAGAACATAGATTGCTGGAAGTATTCCAGGACCGACAGGCACCACTACTCGAGTATGCTGTTCAATTCATCGGTTCCAGTTTCATTCCTTCTGTGCCTACAGAAATGTACAAGGAGGTTCTCGATCGCAATATCAACAGCGGAAACTATTCACGAGACGCCTGGTCGGTACAAGCCCTCTTGCTCTTCGCCATTGGACTACACGCACACAACGAGGTCCCACGAGCTGCCCAGATCTTCGCCATAGCGCAAAGTCTCTGCCTAGATATTGGCCTCCATCGTATAGAGTTTGCCCTCATGCACGGAGAGGGTGACCCACAATTGGAAGAATGCTGGCGAAGAACATGGTGGTCCATGTTCACTGCCAACGGCATGTTGACAGCTGTCAACCCAGGGGTGCAGTTCCGATTGAAAGATGTCGCAACTGATGTCGGGCTACCATGCGAGAATGAGCAGTACTTCTCAGGTGTAAGTCACACTTTTTGATCGCCAGCCTCTCTTGGCACCCTTGCCTTCCTTGTCAGTGGCCAGCATCTGGCATCGGCCCGTCCTGTATCGGCCCTCGCCATACCGGGATGTTGACTGCATCTGCCTCTGCAGGACACTGAGCTGTCGACAGGATGTCTCGTGTATTATAACAACTTTTCATCGCTTTCGCTAATCTACATGGCAGCAAATCCCATATCCCAATACCCTCCAAGACTACGACGACTCCGCCTTCCTTCCAACCCTCCCCGTCTTCAGCTCCTTCACCTACCTCATTGACGCCATACGCATTCTCGGCAAAGTTTTCGAGTGTGCACGTCTTGACTCGACCTTCGAATATCACGCCGTCGATGTGGTGGATGGCTACCTCTGTAATTGGCGGTTGCATCTTCCCCCTTGCAAACTCGATATTGTCGATAATAACGGCCACGTCGACGAAGTGTTATTCCAAGCACACATGGTAAACGCGGGCAGCACCATCATGCTACACCGACCACGCAGCAACCTCGGTTTTGGCAGAGTCGAAGGCGTAAACATCTGCGTACAGCCCGGCCAAGTCCTACTCCCCACCCAAACAAGGGAAATCCACACGGCCAAATGTCTCACTTCCGCTGAAAACATCTCCTCACTCATCCGTCTGCCTGGACAACTCCTCTACCATACCCCCTTCTTCACATGCGTCGTAGTCATGGCATCCGTGGTGCACCTCTCATATTGGTCCTTCCTTGTCCCCGATGGCCAAGACGACATTATCAAGCAATCTATCCGCCTCGACGTTGGAACACTCCAACAATACTCCAACACATGGCCCATTGCCAATGTGGTCCTGGGCCAAGTCCGAGGTGTAGCCCACACCCTGTTCAATAGCAAGAGAGCGATGAGTATCCATCTAT